GCCTAGACACAAAACAAAGTGCCTAGACACAAAACAAAGTGCCTAGACACAAAACAAAGTGCCTAGACACAAAACAAAGTGCCTAGACACAAAACAAAGTGCCTAGACACAAAACAAAGTGCCTAGACACAAAACAAAGTGCCTAGACACAAAACAAAGTGCCTAGACACAAAACAAAGTGCCTAGACACAAAACAAAGTGCCTAGACACAAAACAAAGTGCCTAGACACAAAACAAAGTGCCTAGACACAAAACAAAGTGCCTAGACACAAAACAAAGTGCCTAGACACAAAACAAAGTGCCTAGACACAAAACAAAGTGCCTAGACACAAAACAAAGTGCCTAGACACAAAACAAAGTGCCTAGACACAAAACAAAGTGCCTAGACACAAAACAAAGTGCCTAGACACAAAACAAAGTGCCTAGACACAAAACAAAGTGCCTAGACACAAAACAAAGTGCCTAGACACAAAACAAAGTGCCTAGACACAAAACAAAGTGCCTAGACACAAAACAAAGTGCCTAGACACAAAACAAAGTGCCTAGACACAAAACAAAGTGCCTAGACACAAAACAAAGTGCCTAGACACAAAACAAAGTGCCTAGACACAAAACAAAGTGCCTAGACACAAAACAAAGTGCCTAGACACAAAACAAAGTGCCTAGACACAAAACAAAGTGCCTAGACACAAAACAAAGTGCCTAGACACAAAACAAAGTGCCTAGACACAAAACAAAGTGCCTAGACACAAAACAAAGTGCCTAGACACAAAACAAAGTGCCTAGACACAAAACAAAGTGCCTAGACACAAAACAAAGTGCCTAGACACAAAACAAAGTGCCTAGACACAAAACAAAGTGCCTAGACACAAAACAAAGTGCCTAGACACAAAACAAAGTGCCTAGACACAAAACAAAGTGCCTAGACACAAAACAAAGTGCCTAGACACAAAACAAAGTGCCTAGACCCAAAACAAAGTGCCTAGACCCAAAACAAAGTGCCTAGACCCAAAACAAAGTGCCTAGACACAAAACAAAGTGCCTAGACACAAAACAAAGTGCCTAGACACAAAACAAAGTGCCTAGACACAAAACAAAGTGCCTAGACACAAAACAAAGTGCCTAGACACAAAACAAAGTGCCTAGACACAAAACAAAGTGCCTAGACACAAAACAAAGTGCCTAGACACAAAACAAAGTGCCTAGACACAAAACAAAGTGCCTAGACACAAAACAAAGTGCCTAGACACAAAACAAAGTGCCTAGACACAAAACAAAGTGCCTAGACACAAAACAAAGTGCCTAGACACAAAACAAAGTGCCTAGACACAAAACAAAGTGCCTAGACACAAAACAAAGTGCCTAGACACAAAACAAAGTGCCTAGACACAAAACAAAGTGCCTAGACACAAAACAAAGTGCCTAGACACAAAACAAAGTGCCTAGACACAAAACAAAGTGCCTAGACACAAAACAAAGTGCCTAGACACAAAACAAAGTGCCTAGACACAAAACAAAGTGCCTAGACACAAAACAAAGTGCCTAGACACAAAACAAAGTGCCTAGACACAAAACAAAGTGCCTAGACACAAAACAAAGTGCCTAGACACAAAACAAAGTGCCTAGACACAAAACAAAGTGCCTAGACACAAAACAAAGTGCCTAGACACAAAACAAAGTGCCTAGACACAAAACAAAGTGCCTAGACACAAAACAAAGTGCCTAGACACAAAACAAAGTGCCTAGACACAAAACAAAGTGCCTAGACACAAAACAAAGTGCCTAGACACAAAACAAAGTGCCTAGACACAAAACAAAGTGCCTAGACACAAAACAAAGTGCCTAGACACAAAACAAAGTGCCTAGACACAAAACAAAGTGCCTAGACACAAAACAAAGTGCCTAGACACAAAACAAAGTGCCTAGACACAAAACAAAGTGCCTAGACACAAAACAAAGTGCCTAGACACAAAACAAAGTGCCTAGACACAAAACAAAGTGCCTAGACACAAAACAAAGTGCCTAGACACAAAACAAAGTGCCTAGACACAAAACAAAGTGCCTAGACACAAAACAAAGTGCCTAGACACAAAACAAAGTGCCTAGACACAAAACAAAGTGCCTAGACACAAAACAAAGTGCCTAGACACAAAACAAAGTGCCTAGACACAAAACAAAGTGCCTAGACACAAAACAAAGTGCCTAGACACAAAACAAAGTGCCTAGACACAAAACAAAGTGCCTAGACACAAAACAAAGTGCCTAGACACAAAACAAAGTGCCTAGACACAAAACAAAGTGCCTAGACACAAAACAAAGTGCCTAGACACAAAACAAAGTGCCTAGACACAAAACAAAGTGCCTAGACACAAAACAAAGTGCCTAGACACAAAACAAAGTGCCTAGACACAAAACAAAGTGCCTAGACACAAAACAAAGTGCCTAGACACAAAACAAAGTGCCTAGACACAAAACAAAGTGCCTAGACCCAAAACAAAGTGCCTAGACCCAAAACAAAGTGCCTAGACCCAAAACAAAGTGCCTAGACCCAAAACAAAGTGCCTAGACACAAAACAAAGTGCCTAGACACAAAACAAAGTGCCTAGACACAAAACAAAGTGCCTAGACACAAAACAAAGTGCCTAGACCCAAAACAAAGTGCCTAGACACAAAACAAAGTGCCTAGACACAAAACAAAGTGCCTAGACACAAAACAAAGTGCCTAGACACAAAACAAAGTGCCTAGACACAAAACAAAGTGCCTAGACACAAAACAAAGTGCCTAGACACAAAACAAAGTGCCTAGACACAAAACAAAGTGCCTAGACACAAAACAAAGTGCCTAGACCCAAAACAAAGTGCCTAGACCCAAAACAAAGTGCCTAGACCCAAAACAAAGTGCCTAGACCCAAAACAAAGTGCCTAGACCCAAAACAAAGTGCCTAGACACAAAACAAAGTGCCTAGACACAAAACAAAGTGCCTAGACACAAAACAAAGTGCCTAGACCCAAAACAAAGTGCCTAGACACAAAACAAAGTGCCTAGACACAAAACAAAGTGCCTAGACACAAAACAAAGTGCCTAGACACAAAACAAAGTGCCTAGACACAAAACAAAGTGCCTAGACCCAAAACAAAGTGCCTAGACCCAAAACAAAGTGCCTAGACCCAAAACAAAGTGCCTAGACCCAAAACAAAGTGCCTAGACCCAAAACAAAGTGCCTAGACCCAAAACAAAGTGCCTAGACCCAAAACAAAGTGCCTAGACCCAAAAGAGAAGGGAAGACGATGTGCCGATGGCATGGCACGAGCTCATTTGCCTAGAGGTCTCGGAATCATAGCCTACAGCCAGGCATCGGTAAAACCAAAAAGAGCAAAGAGAAAGACCAGAAACCTGTTTCATACTTATTCAGACTATCTACCAGTAAGCGGAAAGTGGCCAAAGAGAGAAGTGCATGACAGCAGCAATGGAGAGTATGCACAGATGCAACAAAGAATCAGTAGCCCAGAGCCAGTTGCTGTGACGCAAACGCCGTTGGACCTCAGTCTTGGTGTGGGCTGCTTGCAGACACTAATTTTGATAGAACTACAACACGTCACATACTACAACATACAGAGCAGAGGACTGTCCTTGTTGTTCTGTTCTGTAATATGCTCTGCCTCCGCGGCGTTGAGCGCTGTCAGCACACTGGGCATACCCTCCGGCATACTACAACATAGATACCGGTATGTCAAATGTCTGCAAGCATGACGTACTGCCCTAGACATGGAAATCCAGTCGAATGAGCGCTAGCGCATACACTATGATACAGAACGATGTTACGTTCCAGTCGAATGAGCGCTAGCGCATACACTATGATACAGAACGACGTTACGTTGCAGTCGAATGAGCGCTAGCGCATACACTATATGATACAGAACGTTGCAGTCGAATGAGCGCTAGCGCATACAGAACGTTGCAGGCAGTGCAATGTTGATCCAATGCGGCCAGCGCCTTGAAGAGCATACAAGTCATGTACTAATGAATGAAATTGTGTATTTCATACCGATTACCATGATTACTCAAGGCTGCATGGCCACCGCCCTGGGGCCGCTAGACTCCCGACCAGATTTCCATGTCCACGACATGTCGACAGACTCAGTTCAGTAGTATATTTTACTTGTGGCTCAAGAGCCATGGGCTAGAGTTAGCGCTTTCCGTCCTGTCGCACGGGGGTGCCTGGTTGGGCAACGAGATGCGAGCTGCCAAATAAGGTGCTATGGTTTAGTTACATTGCTTCACGAACATTTGAGATGCAGGTCTTGCTCAGGAATCATGTCCGGTGGTTGTCTATTCCATTCGTCGACTACATGTACACGATCGACAGAGTAGATTGGGGGACGTGGGGGTAAACCTGACCGGAGCTGATGCTGACATGAGCGTTGCAAAGTGACCGGGGGACGAAGCACAAGGTTGCTTCCTGTCGTGCCGGCACGAGGTCACAAAGATCTGGAGGGTGCTGTGGAGGCGTATTTAATAATTAGCTTGTAAATATCTGTGAGAGCATACACACGATGGTGGGTGGCTGGGCTCTGAAGATGTGTTCCGCTCTATGGCGACGGCCTTCCGCTGTACACTGTCGAGCATTAGCAGGTGGGAAAAGGCTGCACCTATCCATACTGCTTGTACCTACTCAAGTACGAAGCCTCTGTACGTTGGTATGTGATCTTGGAGACCAAGGAATCGCGAAGCCCGCCTCGAGAATCCCAGCCCGCTGACAGACGGATGAGCAACATTATAGTATCCAGCTCACATTACGATGAATCAACGCCCTTTATTAGTTCGAGGTTTCCCATTTTATGAACACTGTCTCTTGATGATTGCTTGCTTACTAACCATGAAAATCGAGTAGAGACTGAACTAATCCACTGGAGTTTTGTTAAAACTGAAAACAACTTATACTAGTAACTCGAAGTCAATAGACCCTGTTCATCTTGCGCAGAAGCAAGGATCCAGGAATATGCCAGCGACCAGGCGGCAGGTGAAAAGTTTTCGACAAGCCCTCCGAGAATTCAACAGTTCTTGGGAGAACCTTATCACAATCATAGAAAAGTGGGGCAAGGAAGCCAAGGAATTGCACCAAACGGAGCGGATTGTGGCGGCTACGGGTAATGGCGTAGCTGCGGCTGGAGCTGGGCTGACCATAGTCGGTGGTATCTTGACGGTATTCACCTTTGGAGCAGCAACACCTCTTCTTTTAACTGGTATTGGGTTAGGAATAGCAGGAGCCACCACATCTGGTATAGGAGCAATCGTTGAGAAGGTGAAGGAGAAAGGCATCAAAGGTGAGGTGGCCGACGCGCAGTCTGAATTCGATAGTGCCAAGGAACGCTTCGAGACCCAGTGCAAGGAGATGAGGAAAAATTGCAGCGATTCCGATGGCCCAGAGTTGGTCGACGGTATACAGCTGAGTGACATCGTACTGGTCTGCGAGGGCTTCGAGGTGTGCTACGGCATAACTGAAACAGCCGTGATTGCTACTAAAACCGCTAGAAGTGTGGCAGCAGTGAGTGCACGGGTTACTGCCAGAACTGTAACTAGAGCCGCCGCACAAGGAGCGTTGAGTGCTGCTGTTGGAGGAGTGTTTGTTGTTTTCAACACCGCCCTGATGGTCAAATCACTGGTAGACATCGCCAAAGACAAACCAGGAGAATTGGCGGATGAAATGTTCAGATACGCCGAGAGTTTGCGCAAAAACCTGGACGAGTTTAGAGACAAATATCCCATCAGTCGGATACTGTGAAGTGCTCGACCCGGGATGTGCGACGCAGCGTACGCTCATTAAGCTGGACTATTTGATAATGGCATTATCATCTGCAGACTAGCGTGTTTACAACGTCACTGATTCTCGCATGCATTGTATCACCGGTTTGTGCTGCTGCAATTTTACTCCTGGCTTTCTCTTCTTTTCATTGATCTCCTCGTCTAATTATTGATCTGTATTGCACATGTTTCTTCTCACTTCTACCTTCCATCGTCTTCATGTTTCATGCTCCAGTACATTCACACTGCTATTCGTCTTCCTGTTGTGGCTTTTTGGTCTGATGTTCCGTATACTGCATGCTATCATTAATATTTTCTTTTTACATCGGAAGCTCAACAGTGCAGCTGAAAAAATATAGAGAGGTTGATGGGACCAAAAATAAAATATAAATATAAATATTTGTAACATGGGAAATTGTGGGCACAAGTTATGCGATTGATTCCACCAACTAAATATAAATGTTTAGACTATACTTAATCCGCGGACAGCATGCTGTTTCGTTCTCTGTGACTCATCAGCGCAGCACAGAGAAAATGAGGCCGAACCTGATAGCAATGAAAATAAAATTTCCAAGGCCAGCTTTAAATCAGGCCCGAACATACCTTGCCGGAATGCTCAAACTGACAAGTCAGTCAGTGAGCTCCACGTAATGCACACAGCAAAGGCACTACCCCACATGAGAGTGCTCAACTACAGTACTACAACAGCAGGAGCGAAAATACTCAATCTGCGGACAGCATGCTGTTTCGTTCTTTGTGAACTCATCAGCGCAGCACAGATAAAATGAGGCCGAACCTTATACATTATGTTTAGACAATATTTTTTTAAAGCATTTGAAGTAAGATTTCATTTATTCCACATCCCATAGCATGCAATTGCCAATCGAAAGAATGATCGTGGTACTCATGTCACACACACACACACACGCACACGCACACACACACACACCTACACACGCACACACACACGCACACGCACGCACACACACACACACAGCACCACACACTACATGGCAGCGATTGTGGATCTTTATCAAAGTAATGCTTCCAGAGGGTACATTTTCGAGTGACTTTCATCAGTGGATCAAATCGAAGGATATTCACCAACGAACACAAACTAAATACAAGGTAGCCGAATAAATTCTGTAGAGCACAGTCCAATGGTGAAGGCGAAAACACCGATGTCTTTAGATGTGAGATAACATGCAAGTTGATGCAACTATTGTAATGATACGAAATAGAGGTTGCGACTTCGGCGATGATTTTGTTTAGGAATCAGCGTTGTGAATCAGCGTTGTGAATAACCGAGGATCCTCTTCGTCTGTTCTCACCATCCAGGAGCGATAACTAACTCACGCTGCTATCTGGTGTTCACGAGGTGTTTGTCGCGCTGGAAACGGAGTGTCTCTGTAAGTTTGTATCCCTGGTGATGTTTGTGCCTGGAGAGCACTATATAAGTGGTGCTCTTCAGGCACAATCTTCCTCAGCCTACTCAAGCTCAACTGATGAGGGGTGAATTCCCCGAAACACTGTGTATTGAGCAGGGAGTGGTGCTTTCTTGCAGGTTTGCCGAGTCGAAGGTTCGATGGACTTCTCGTGTTCTCTGGATGGCAGTCGTGAGTCAGTCAAGTGTCAAGTCGTCGGCGGAATAGCGCGAGCTCCAGTGTGGGAGCAAACCCATTCCTATCGTAATGATACTTAACGAAAACACGTGTGAGTTTACACCAGCGTAAGCGTTATACAGTCGTGTAGATAGCGGGAGGGATATATGTATAATGTGTGAATGGTAAAAAATAATTATCTTGAAGTACAATTATACATACTTGTATATGTGCGAAATAGCGGATGTATGTATGTATGTAGAAGTTTATTTAACGTCGCACCACAAACAGGCGATTTCGCCTCCTTTGATACATGTGGACGACAGAAGGAATGAGAGAGAGAGAGGGGGGGGACAGAAGTATGGAGAGAGGAAGGGTAGAAATAAATAAGCAATCAATCTCAGGGCTACACCAAAGCAAAAACGGAATGGGAACATACTATATACAAAATAGCTTCATACATAATATTGCAAAACACGTTTACTATTCTTCAGTCCGCTATACCACAGAAACACACTAGCCGAAAAGCATTTAAACGGAGCCATGATGCGCTTTTAGCAGGGCACAGAACTGAAGGTGGCTGGGCTCGGAACGGAGATCAGGCGGGAGCTGGGTCCACAGGACTGCGCCGATGAACTGCATGGTCGCTCGACCCGCAGGACCGGGCCAAAATGGTACTCGAACGAGGTGTTGTGCTGCTCCCCGAGTGCGGTCACCAGTAACTCTCACGAAGAAGCTGGTGAAGAGGGAGCTAGCTCGGGAGAACAGACAACGACGGACAAAGATGAGGAGCTTAATGTTAAACATGTCCTCCAGGGTGGTGAGGCGGAGCTGTTCAAAGATCGGGCTCGTGCGCGACCACGGTGGCAGACCGAAGAAGCCGCGGATAGCGCACTTCGTTAGACGTGTGAGGGGCTCCATGTTGCCAATTTGAAGTGACGGATAAAAGGCGTTGGAAGCGTACGACAACCTACCCTGGATCATCGACCTGTAAAACAGGATCTTTGACGCCAGGGTGAGGCTTCGGCGGCTCCGCCACAGCGCACCTACTGACTTCCGCACCTGCTGGATTGTGTGATTGACGTGAGGCTCCCAGGAGAGCTGCCCATCTACCATTACGCCCAGGTACCGCGCTTGTTCCACAACTGCAAGGGCTGCATTCCCACAGCGAATTCGAATGTTATCTGTGTCAGGGGCTGGGCCTCTTGGGGTAATCAACAGAGCTTGCGTTTTCTTTTGGTTCAGCATTAGTCCGCGGTCCTCCAACCACTGCGACAGGCCAGTGATGGCTGTGCTTAGAGAAGAGCACACTTGTTCGCAACTGCCCGAGGCTTCAATTGCAATGTCGTCTGCAAATTCCTGGTTTGTGACCTGCTGGGGCAAGCAGCATCGAAGGTTACGGATGTATAGTGTGAACAGGAGGGGGCCGAGGACGGATCCTTGGATGTGTGCGAAATAGCGGATGTGTGCTAAATAGCGGATTTGTGCGAAATAGCGGATGTGTGCGAAATAGCGGATGTGTGCGAAATAGCGGATGTGTGCGAAATAGCGGATGTGTGCGAAATAGCGGATGTGTGCGAAATAGCGGATGTGTGCGAAATAGCGGATGTGTGCGAAATAGCGGATGTGTGCGAAATAACGGATGTGTGCGAAATAGCGGATGTGTGCATGAAGGGGGTTACATTAACAAAGTGAGTGTTGTCACGTTCCGTGAATCCGTGTGAATTACTATGTTAGGTTTTATAAAACGCCGCCCGCCCGAACCTGTTTGCCCGCCGTACTTTCGTTGTCGGTGTTATTCAGCCTGATCTAGAATATGCTCTCCCTGTATACCTTTCGTTTATATCCGCTAAAAATAGAAACAAGCTAGCCTCTCTCCACCGGCGCGCTGTACGAGTTGCTTGTGGCGCATCACCCCAAGCTAATATCACGCCACTTCTTCACCACCTCAATGTTTCCTCTTTCCAATAACGATCAGTATTTTTGTTCCTTGTATTCATTTTCCACTGTTACTGTATTAAGCCGGCTGTTTGCTTGCAGTCCCTCTTTCCCATCTGTACGTCTACCCGCACTACTCGCAGCTCAACAACTCATAACATGAGTATCAATCGCTATAGATCTATGTCTGGCTTTCTGTCCTTTTCAAGTAAATCGGCTCTTGTTTGGAATCATTTACCAGATGACCTGAAGTCCTGCACTACTATCGCAGATTTCCACGTCAGATTGGCTATTTGGCTAAAAGACAGCTTAACTCTTAATCATTGTTGTGATTTGCTTTCAAGCAATGTGCATAATCAGTAAATTGATGTTGCTGTTTTTGTTTTTTGTTTTTTTTGGTTTCCCGTTCTCGGGGCCTTCTAATCGGTACTCTTTGTAGTTGTACTTCTGTACTGTTGAGCTATCCGAATTCAAATAAACATTAAAAATATATATAATATAATTATATATATGCTGGCTACAAGCGAGGGTCCCTGGTTCGAGTCCTGGTGGTGACAGTCAATTTTTTCTTCAGACTTTTCCCGTTTTTCTCTTTCCCTCAAACCAGTTAATATATATATAATTATATATATACTCAATCTGCGGACAGCATGCTGTTTCGTTCTTTGTGAACTCATCAGCGCAGCACAGAGGGAATGAGGCCGAGCCTGATAGCAATGAAAATAAAAATTTCCAATCAGGCCCGAACGTACCTTGCCAGAGTGCTCAAACTGAAAAAAACAATAATAGGGATGGCTGCGAGTGACCAAAGAAAGAGAGAAGGTGAAATCAGCAATGGAGAGTATGCTCAGATGCTACAGACAATCAGTGCCCCAGAGCCTGTTTCTGTGACGCAAGTGGCGTTGGATCTTGGTCTTGGTCTTGGCTGCTTTCAGACATACTGTGCTAGTACTAGTAGTAGTAGTCATTTGACATGCTTACATGACATGTTTTTGTAGCGCTTGTACTGGATAGTTAGGGCTTTCCGTACTGCCGCTCGCGGCTGGCTGGTTGGGCCACGTGATGCGATCTCACCGATCTGCCAAACAGTTGCTATGGTTTAGGTACATTGAGTCACAAGCATTTTAGATGCAGGACTAGTGTTGCTCAGGAACCATGTGAACAGGTGGTCTACATGTGTATTCCATTCGTTCACTACTCCATTTGTACGCGATCGGCGGAGAACGTTGGGGGACGTGGGGGCAACTCTGACAGCAGCTGATGCTGATATGAGCGTCGTGTTTTGATACTGGGGACAAAGCACAATGCTGCTTCCTGCCATGTCGGCACGAGGTCACAAAGATACGTAGGTTGTCGTAGGCGTATAAGCTTGTACGCATTTTGTCAGAGCAGACACAAGTCATGATGGCGGGCGGCTGGCCTCGGGAGGATACCTTTTAAA